TTCTAACTCGAATCATGGTGGTAAAAACTATGACAGGATCTTGGGAGATGTGTTCATGGGCAAATACCACACCGTGTTTGACTTTGGAAACGAGCAGGTCGGGTTTGCAGAGGCAGCGTAAACACGGTTGTTTTCGGGTTTTAGTTGGGTTTGTGCGAACAATATGCGTCTCCAAGTGTTGTTTGTATGGAGGGGTTTGTGTTAAAAAAGACTAGAGTCGTAGAAATGGTGGCGCAGCACTTTTATCTTTTATGGTATCCAAACAAAAAGGCCTTTGTAGTTTTGAAGGCATTGGCTTTGTAAATACCTCTTTCTACTAAGTAAGCTCGATGGTGAAAACTTTAAATAAAAGTGCCTGCCTCTGGATCCACCTTTGTTATTCTTATGCTTTGTGATTAAATTGTCTTACGCATACTTCAGAATAATCGATTGATCTGGTCAAAAACATTATTACAGCTCCTGCTTTTAGGTCAAAACAAGCTTCTACGGCAGATATAGGAACAAACCTCTAAATCTAGACCCACTACTCCCACTAATTTCAGGTAGACTATGTGAATGTACACAAGTCACTGAACTTACTTGAGAAAAGTAGGCAAATCCTTAGAGAATGTTTTGTTCTTGGTTATTATTCCCATTTCTTGGTTAGGAAAGTATCAAATACCAACAAGCCATTATCACTCCACTCAATAGAAAGTGGTAGGCAAAGTGATTCAGATCATACATGACACTCTAAAACTAAGAATCACAGGTGCATCTGGTGTGCCTTTAAGGGAATTCTGTACTAAGAAATTGAAAAGAGAAGCCATCTTGCAACGACTGAATATGTATATGGAAGGAAATACGAACTAACTCGAAGAGTTTTTGTTGCAAAATGGACCAGTTACAACGAGTTACAGTTTCCTAGGGTAGAAATTAGAAAAGAACTAATCATTTCTACTTTAGCTAACACTCAAAACCATAAACAAACCTATCTTTGTTTTGTATTCTTCGCTGTTTCCCCATTACCTTTCATGTTAACAAGATGCGATAACCAAACCCCCCCCAAGTTCCCGATAACAGACTCAGAACCGCATCTATTCAAACGGCATATCATAAAGAAGTTAACAAATGTTCAAGTATTCTTTTTGATGCTTGAACGCGAAATTCTTGAATCCACAGTGTGCAACTGGTCTCGAAGATCCTGATTTTCCTCAAGCAGCCGGTTAAACTCAATAAGAAACCCTTCAGATTGTTTTTGTAGAGCAATTGCACTGGTTTTTTCAGTATGAATTTCTTTAGACCTTGACTCAATCTCAGAGGCTAACTGCTTTTGCCTTTCCTGAAGCAACACTATTTCTTCTTTCAAGTTTTTAACTTCATCCAAAGCTTTAGCCTTTACAGCTTCCAGTCCTGCTCCTTCCTTCTTTATAACTTCCATGGTCATCCTTCTTATGCGTAGCTCTCTCATGTAATGATGCAGCCTGTCTATCATCAGTCCAAGGAAAAGAAAACCACCTGGAAGAAAACACAGCTAAGGTTAACCAAAACCAGAAGATAAAAATTCCAAAGGGCACAAAAGAAATCAAACTGAAACTGTGGAAACCAATTTCATATAGCAAAAAAACACTTATGGGGACTATTTGGATCCACTCAGAGCCAATTTGATTGTAGTAGGCTAAATCAGAGGAGAGTTAAGAGCTAAACAATCACACTGGTTATTATGGAACTATATGGATAGCTCTAGAGCCAATTCGATTGAATTAAGCTTGAATCAAAGCTAAAACCATTACTCTAGCAAAATCCAAATACAACTATCAAACTATGTTAACACACAAACGTAAGATCCATCATAGTGATCACAAACATTCAAGAGATTCCAACACAGATACACTCCACAACATTAGTTTCTAAAATCAGTACATGGATCTTAAATTCTCTACTACTACTAGAAACAGCAATTCTGGCTCAAAGAGAACTAAAACCGGATCTATAAGCGATTCGAGCTTGCTTACCCATGAGAGTCGATTCAAGGAGATGCTTCGCCATAATAACCTCATCGGTCGGGTTCATCGCACCGTCCTCGATCCAACGCTTCTGGATATTCATCATACTGTACACACTCGCCACCAGAACCACAATAACCGTCGCCGAAATCGTCTGAATCACCACCGGTCCACGTCCACGCTTCGCACGATCTAGACTCATTATCAACAGCTTCCTAATCGGCGTCTTAAAGGAAAGCGCCATTATCACCACAACCTCCGAAAGTACCACCGCGAACAACAAATGCTGCATCGTATTGATTCTCGTGTGTGATCGTCTAGGGCTTCGAAATTTTTCCGAGAAAGCAAATGCAAACAGCGATCGAGAAGAGAACTTTCTCGTCG